AACCTGATGCATTCAATATCTCATTCACAATTAAATTCCTCTTTCATCTTTAAATTCTTCTTCCATTTGACTTCAGGACACTACATTCATGGTTGACTTCTGGATCTTCTCAGTCCCACTGAGAAGACCAGCACCCCACTGGGGACCTATTCTGTACATCTGCAGACACTCCGTAGGTGCTCTCATCCAATCCTCTGACTTTATAATCCTGACTCCATGTAGAGGATCCCAAATTTGATCGTTCCTGCCCCAGCTGCTTCTCTGATCTCGAAATTCAGATGAACATCAGCTTTTTCAAAATCACTACTGGATATTTGACATCTCAACAAAATTGTATCCTAGACTCCACCTCAAAATAAAATGTTGAGGTCATCACTAACTCATCTTTGTCTCTTACACTGATCAATCAACTCCTCCAACTCCAAAGAATGTATAATCCCTTCTTGTCAACTCTACTACAACTTACCTCCATGCTACTCCCTTAGCCCGAAATCTTTTCTACACCAGCCAAAAACTCCTTTGAAATCATGATCAGTATTATGTCGCACCTTAGCTAAGACTCCTTCATGAATTTAGTGTCTCAAAAGACACGCCTTGTGAGCTGTGAGCTGTGAGCGGCACCTGACCTGGCCCCACTACTAGTACTATGGTCATCTCCTAACACTAAACTGTCCTGTTTTCTTTGCCGTAGCAAAGAGGTGGTGTTTCTGCAATTCCTGGAACATGTCAAATGCCCTCCTACCATGGCCTCTGAACTTGCTGTTCTCTCCACCTTGAACGGGCTTCCCCTTCGTCTACCTGCATGACCATCTGTCTTTTTCCTTCAAGTCTCTGCTTTGCCTTTCATTTTATCTGAGGGAACTGATCTATCTAAATTAGGACCTATCACCATTTCTCTCTATTCCTTATGCTCCTTTATTCTGCATAGTACCCAACATCCTTGTCCTATTATGTATACATTGTCTATTTTCTATCTCTCTCCTGAATTGCATCCAAAAGGCAGATTCCATAACAACGGGAAGTCTGTGGGATTTCCATACATCCAGAAAAGTGTGTGGTACTTATTAGACATCTGAGAATGTTAATTGACTAAGTGGTCCATTTCAGATTTCTGTAGCATTTGATACCATTGGCTATAGGCTGCTTGGGTTGTTCTCTTCACGAGTTTAGCGTCTTTTTAATTTCTCTTCCTCTCTGCCTACTACTATCAGACTTCTCCTGAGGATCCACTTCCGTTTCTTGAACGTTGATATTCCCCCAATTTGAGACCTTATCCCTCTTTTCTCCTCATTCTTTATACTCTCCCTTAATTTCTGTCCAAATACCTTTGCTATGACTAGCACACACCCAAACCTGGATGACTGACATGTAAATCTTCCTCCATTGCAGTCCTTTCTCTAAATTCCAGACTTGTCTGTCCTGTTGGACTATGATTACCTCTCCTAGGATATCCCTGGGGAAGGCCTGAGGACTTTTCCTTAAACTCATGCCTCACTTATCATTTTCCTTCTTAACAAGAATTGAACCTGTTTTCCTAAGATTAAAAACTCATTAAATAACTAGTTCAGTTTCTTTTCTAATATTTCCAATAACTTATTATAAGAGATTATTAGCTCTGTTTTATAGATAAGAAAACAGACTCAAATTCTAAGTAACATGCTCCAAGTTACAAAGCTTATCATGTCCTGTTCTGGTGGTACCAAGTGTATAATTCTGACACATTTCTGAGAAAATAAATGAAATATCAGTTTTACCATCAGAAATGATTCCAAAAAAGCTTAGCAGCCCAAGCAATAGAGTTGCTTTCTCTGTGTCTTAGGGCTTGCATCTTGGGCCATGAAGTTCACTTGTCCAGTTCCAGAAAGAGCAGAGCCTATCTTTGAGCAAAAAGATCTTATCTTTGAGCATATGTGGAATTCAGCTTTAACTTGCCCCAAATTGATTTTCTAACTCTTTCTCCACAAAATACCTGAAAATCAGGTCAAGATTTCCCCTTTTTCTCTTCACAAAACAATTCTGTAGAATATATCTCAACCATGACTTGTTAAATGTAGATGTCCGCATAATAAGCTACATGTCTAAAAATGAATGAGGCTGAACTATTTAGACTGTCCTCAAATCTATCTTATAAAGGATCTTCTTGTCCTTTCGTAGTCTGTCCCTTCACTCTGTCCTTGCTGGTACATCTACTCAGTCTAGTGTTTCCTTCCTCAGAGATTTCTCCTAACCCCCTCCAACAGCCTCCTCACAGTCCCGTGATATGTGTCCGGGTGAATTTGTTTACATTGGGGGTTACTTTTTTAATGTAAGACATAGCATGACTATTGGAGTAGAGGCAAACCATGGACTCTCTATAGAATTTTAGTAGCATCGTTTCTATAAGCATTGTGATTTTTTAACTGCTCCAGAACAAGCAGAACAAAGGTTTATGTTTTAGCTTTTTTACAATTGCTTTTTGTAGGCAGTTTGCCATTTTGTTTTACAATTTTCCTCTTGGAAGCTGGAGCAGCATGCACACATTTCCAAAGTATGTGAAATTTATGTCATCTGGAAGCAAGGACCATGCATTGTGTACTTCTCCTCTGTTGTTCACTGTATACTTATATAGTAGGTGGTCAGTAAAATTGAAGTGAATAATGGAAGAATAAAGTAAAACCCTCCTTTCCTACACAACTATACAGCATTATTTTTAGCACTATTTAAAATCACAATGCATCAGATGAACACAATTTCTAAACCAAAAAATCAAGACACTCTGCTTGATAATCCTGTGTCTTTATAGGAATTTGGGGGATTATATATTCAATTATTTATATAGAAAATCTGACTCTCTCATATGGTTACCCCTGTATTTGAAACAAAGTGTACTGATATTAATTAAGAATATGAACCTCTTTTTGTCCACAGTCACCATGTTTTTGGTGCTTCAGAGTAAACAAGTACAATTTCAAAATTTCACCATCTTCCTACACAGAGCAAGAAGCAAGCTGGAGGTTAAGATGAGTGGATTTGACACTTGCATGTGCTTCACCTCTAACCAAGCTGTAGGCTTTAGACTTCTGTTTCTTCCACTGGAGTAAATCAGGTGTAGTACACACAGCCCCTTGCTCGGTGGCAGCTGCTGAGTCCACCCAGAAAACTACTGTGCCAGCAGCGATTTCCCTGTGGCTCTCCTATTTAATTGAATGAGAGCCAGCAGGTGACTGGTGCCATGACCTGGGAATCACAGACACACACTGAGCCTGTCACAGGGTGTTGGAGCTTATGTGCATGGTCTTAGTGGATCACAGGATCCTGCTCAGAGGAAGGGCATGCAGTGTGTGTCCCATTATTATTACTGTTATTGTTATTATTATTTTATCATTAATATGTGCTAAAGAGTATGACTTTGAAACCAATCGTTTTAGATATTATGCAACTAAACATAGTGATGGCATGTGTGATTTATTTTATAAAATATTTAGAGGCATTGCAACTCATTATTGCTATGAAAATGTTCATACATTACCATTTTATATTGTCCTGATGTTAAAAACAGTGATAAGAAAGTAGTCTGTGGATCAAGGAATCGGCTTCCCTACCAACACTTCTATTTGTTCTGTTCACAGAATCTCTGGGAATAGAATGTGTTTGGTTCCACAAAATGGTAAGAACCATAGAGAACAAAGGAATCCGAATACACAATATGAGCATTAGTTAACTAGGGAGAAGGTAGGCATTAATGTAGCAACCACTAAGCCTCAAACACCAGAAGAACATTCATTTTTACCAGATGAGGATTTTCAACACAGTAAAGAAAGTTAATTACCTATTCTAAGTGAGGTTTCACCAGTTCCATTCAAGGATGGTAGACATTAAAAAGGAACATTTCAATTTGCAAGTCAGTGCATCTATCCTTATTTCAAATACATACTCAGTGACTAGCAAAGCCACTCAAACCTAGCAGGGAAATTTAGCAACTGTCTACATTTGAATGCTACAAAGATATCAATAACATACACAGATGATAGACAAAAGTTGATATGAAGATTTTCTTCCGTGTTACTTAATAAGAACATATTATGTAGTTCAAAGTCTACACAATGTAACAGTTGACAAAAATTATAAACAAAATCTTGAGACATGATAAATCATACTAAATGGGCAAAAGAAGAAAGGCATTTTACTGAAATGGAAAGATAGGAGATGCAGAGAAAAAAAGAATTTTCATAAGGTTCCATTTCTCTACAAGTTTAATTATCACAAATCCTTAGTACCTAACCCCCTGAAGGTGGTGGGGTCATAGTAGCAATTAATATTACATTAGTTGTCCAAAACTTTGTGTGCTTAGCTGATTCTATTTGTCTCAAACTTTCATCTCATATGATGTCTGGTGGCTGAAGGCTGCTTAACGAAATGTCCTAACCATTAAAAACAATTGGTTTTACAACCACTTTCAAGTCCCCCTCAGAGAAAGCTACTACAAGAGAAAGAAAATCTACTTTGATGTGCTATGGGGTTTAATCAGACAGTCTAGATTAACAAATGGTAAGAAAAAAAAATCCCAATAAAATGTCTAAAAAAATTATAAGTCAGTTTGATAGAGCCTGAGTTGCATGTTTGTCGTGATTTTGGAGACCTGCCAGTAGCAAATAGGATCCAGTTGGTGTGGACTGAAGGATTCCTGGCAGCAAATCAGGACAGAAAATCTGACCAAATGATGTCTTTTCGAGTAAGTGACAGCCAAAAGCTGTTCTCTGGCTGTTACTGCTGTGAGTAAACGGGCGGATATTTTATTTAAACATGTAAGTGTGAAAGAAAGTTGTCATTGCCATGTTCTAAAGAATCCTATAGAAAAATAAGAAATTTTCAATATTATTTTTTTGCAATGAAGTTTGACATTCTAGGGGGGAGGAGTCTAAAAACATGGAGAAATCATCCATGTTTTAAAAAATCAAATTTGAAATCCCATGCATATCTAAAAGAAATATCATTTCTTCTACGCCACTGTGAACTTCCAGGAAAGGGGAAGAGACTGAAGCAAGCTAAGGAGGAGGCAATGGCTGAAGTGGACCAATACAGAATGCAGAGAGACCAGGAGTTTCGACTTAAACAGTCTAAGGTAAGCCAGGATGCCCACACTGATTTATGCTGCATAGAGGATAAGATATTAATATTCATAAGGCATAAGGAGGAACCTTAGGAGAACTATGCTGTGATTCGGCAGGTACAGTCTACACAAGGCTAAACACCAAATTAGATCTTAAACATTACAGAATTACCAAGTTTACCTTTTCAGTTTCAAGGTGTTTTAAATTTGTCAGACAATATGTCTCTGGATAGTTGTTGTCTGATGTTGACTATGTATTAAAAAAATCATAATCTCAAATATACAAATTGAAGGAACTAAAGTATCATTGCTACCACAGATTATTGACTGACACCATTTAAAAAAAAACTACAGAAAACATTTTGTTTCTTTAATGTTTACTAGTAAAATTAATTTTTAAGTTGCATGATAAGATATAGAATGAACTTGTCAAATAGAACATGCCCCTGCCACAGGAACTTTACACACCCCATGTTACTCCCTGTAATTCTAATCTTTTGACTCATTCATCTTTCTTTAATATGTGATCATGAACTTCCTTTCCTGATGACCTTATCTAAAATTATCTCTCTTTTAAAAGTAAAGGAAAGCAATACTCCATTACAGTCCATTCTTTTTCTTCATTGCATTTATCACTGTCTGATATATTAAGTATTTATACTTTTTTCTTACTGCCTGTCTTTCCTTCTCACTATAAGCACCAAAATAGCAGATTCGTTGTTTTATTCTCTGTTGTTTTCCTAGGTTTTAAAACAGTCTGCCTCCTAGTAGGCATGCAATAAACGTTAGTGGAAATAATGAATAACTAAATATTTCCTCTGTGGCTTTATCTTTCCCATTGGATCCTGTTATATTAAAATCTGATAAAATAATCATCCTTCATAACAACCAGCTTTGATTATCATATGTAGGATATCTCTGAAAAGATAGTTGTTATTTCTTTTTTTTTAAGTCATAACAAATCTGACCATAATTTCTGCAAGTGGTTGGATTAAACCTCTTGAAATACTATTTCTCCTGAAGAATCCTATCAGATGTAAATCTGGTTCAAGATTTGTTCACTGCTTTAGACAATAATTAAAACTCTTTCTTGCTCTCATAATTGGAGCTCCAAGCCAATTTTACAGCTAGTTGATCAAAAGCTCACATAGAAAAGTCATCATGTTTAAGCCTCTTGCTACTTCAAGCATAATGTAAAACCATTACTGCAGATCTTTCCTTGGCATGACCTCCATATGTCAGGCATATTGCTATTCCCATTAAATCTCGTCATCATTAACCCAGGGCAATTAGGAGGTCTGGGAGGAGACCCAAAAAAAACGGTTTTATGCCTGCTGTGGGTATTGTACCCTGATGTTTCTTTTTTGGTTGTTGCCTTTTAGCTTTTGTTAATACATATGTTTCTTCGAGTCTTCTTACTTATCAACACAGACAGGTTATTCAAATGTGGGTTATAGTTATATATCCACTGGTACCACTTTATTAATGACTTGTTTATCCCTTGCTCATCATTTCTACCTAATGTACCATCTACTCCTGAAGAGATATGGCATTGCTAAAAGGAAATATGGACTACAGAAAATTAAATCTATTGTTAACATAAGTAAAAGTCAGATAAGCTACGAATCCAAACAAAAGGCCCAAATAATGGTTTCCACAAGCACACAGAAGTCTTTTATATTTTTTACTTCTGAATTCATATCTTGAGAGCATTTTGTTTCCTTGAAGTAATAGAAAATTGAGAATCCCAAACTGTTTTTGCTTAAGATTGTGGGTCCTGAAGTTCTGCTATCCCTGAAACTGGAGCATTTGAACAATTGCTAAGGAAAGATACTCAGTGTTGAAAGATCTGACTGTCAGTATCAGTCATTAGGTTGGAAGTCTGTGCACATCACTCTCAAAGTTGAAGTTTTGAAAAGTAGAAAAAAGTCCTAACGTGTGGCACCTTTTGAACAAATGGATCATGACATGTTACAGAATGATCAACTTGTAATGTATATAGTGTCCCAAATGTTAACAAGATTCTGCAACAGGAACAACACAACACAGGTAATGAGTTCTCTGAAACATCTGGAGATTGGAGATATGGTCATTCTACTCTGCTTAACAAATATGTACCCAGAATAGGTAATAGTCTCACAACACTTAAGACATTGGATTTAGGAGAAAAAAAATGTTTTTCAATTCCTTAGAGTCCAAAATAAACCGGTAAATTTAGAAAGAAAAAAAGTTTGAATTGGGTAGAATTATTTTTAAACCCCTTAGTAAGGGGAATTTGGACCATGTGTGTCTGCTTCCTGTATACTCATTTATGAAAATATTATTTTGTAAAAGTTATTTAGTGTCTCAGAAACTGCATCTTCTCAAAATTATTTTCTTTGAACTGGAATGCTCTTGTTGCCTGGATTATAAACAGAAAAGGACTGGAGCTCAATAGCCTCAGTTGCATTTGATTTGAAGCTTAGGATCCAGAACAATGATGGGGGTTCCAGATGTTAGAACAGTCCAGCAACCCTGAGGAGGAAGTCATGATTAGTGGAGCTACTTAGATCATACCAGATGCACCTCTCCCCTTAACACAGAAGAGGAAAATGAGGAAATCCAGCTGTCTTGTCTTAATGAAACCACATTTAATAATACAAGGGGGAGAAATGAATGACAGTAGAGGGGGTAGAGAGAGAAGAGGGGAGGGGAGGGGAGGGGGGATAGTAGAGGATAGGAAAGGCAGCGGAATACAACAGACACTAGTATGGCAATATGTAAATCAATGGATGTGTAACTGATGTGATTCTGCAATTTGTATACGGGGTAAAAATGGGAGTTCATAACCCACTTGAATCAAAGTGTGAAATATGATATATCAAGAACTATGTAATGTTTTGAACAACCAACAATAAAAAATTAAAAAAAAAAGAAAGATCAAGTTCACAGGTAGATGAATTAAGAGTTGATTGTTTAGCTAAGATTGACTTTCAAAGTGTCTCAGTGCAGTTTTCCTTTAGAATAATAACTCTCCCTGCAAGATAAGGATTTGGTCCAATCACAACTCATGGCTGTATAAGAAACTAAGAGGATAGAGAACATGATGCAAAGTGCTAACAGCCAATTAAAGAGTAATTAGAAAGTTCTGTTCAACTGTGGCTAAATTGATAATTTGATTAAATAAACAAGCATATCTCAATTTGAAAGAATTTCAATTTATACCAAAATTCTCAATAGTGTATCTATTAGCCATATCTTTCTCCATAGGCATGTAAAAGCATTTGGGATGTATATTTCAGCTGTATCTTCCCAAGAATCAATGAAGGTCAGATAATGTATTTTAACAAAAATAAACCCAATAACCAGCTCTTTAAAAACTAGCCAAAGTGGGCTTACTGGTGCCTACCAATTTTGTTTTCTAGACTCGTAATTCAGAAAATAAGCAACAGGGGAGATGTGAGATCAGAATGGAAACTAGTACAAAACATGAGAAATGTGATGAGAAAACTTCTGAGCATAGTATCATGACTGTAAACTGGTTTGTGATTTGTACTGCGTGGTCATCAGTTAGAAGTGAAAAAATAACCTGTTATGCCATTTCCATAGCAGGAAAGTCCATCTTCACACTCATGGTCTTAGTGTTCTAGTCTGTCCTCTGGGGGAAAAAAATCTGGAAAAAGAATAGATAGTGTGTGTTCCATAGACCAATCATCAATAAATAGGTTACGGTTTATAAAACCACAAAATTTTAACATGACTATGGTGTGACAATTCCATCTCTTGTTTCCTAGATAATGGGTTCTCAGAGTAATGTCTCCTACGAAATTGAAGAACAAACACAGGGAAAGATTCAGGAACTGAATGGGAGCTACAACAAGTGTATGGAGGATGTGATTAAACAGCTCTTGATGATGGTCTGTGACATAAACCCAGAAATCCACATGAACTACAGAACCACCAACTGACGTACCTAAAACAGTTCCAAGGAGTGGTGTGTGGATGCCTCCTGCTTGCTGGTAGCTTCATGTTCGCATTAAGAAATTTAAAACATTGATCTTGTTTACTGAACATTTATAAAATTCAGTGTGCATGAATTCACAAATGGGCGCTTAATTTTAAAAAGTAAATAAAGCTATCATTTTATCTTTCCCGGTAATAGTCATTAAATGGTGTTGTCATTTAACTGGGAACAAGTCAAAAATGCAGAGTAACGTACTTTTGACATTGAAAGGAAACTGACTTTCAGGATGTCGCTTTTTAAAAAATGTCTTCTTTTATCAAAGCAGATAAGCTCTTGGGAGTGGTCATTAAAAACTAATTTTTAAGGGGAATATGACTCCTATACACATCTAAAATGAACATGTCAAGGATTTTAATTCACTAACCAATGAGGAAACCATAAAATGTTATCAGTAGTTAAAAAAAAAAGATTGCATAAAAAGAAGAGAGAAACAGATAGAGACATGGTAGATTATGCAGTTATCTTAGGAGAAATGGGTCCCGGAACTATTCCATTCACCTAATTTCAACTAGCCACATATTATTCTCTTTCAAGTATTTTTTTAAACAACAACAACAAAAAAATGACAAGTGACTCCTTACATAATGAGTTCATATACCATTAACTTATTCTCTCAGCAATAACTAAGCAAAATTCTGAAGTGCTAAGTACTTTGTTAGTTCGATGCATAACTCATCTCAGTCCTACTGTGGGGACAGTGTTATTGCCTGCCTGCTTAAAAATGGTAAGGAGTATAAGGAACTTTCCTGGAGATGCTTGGGGAACAGTGGCAGCCGGGAGCTTCACCCTGGCAAGGGAACTCCAGTGTCTACTCCCTTCTCTTCTCACCAAACTGCCTACCCAGAAAGTTCCTATATATACATCATTATAATCACAGATACTAAATGTCTTTGATTTTCAAATAATATATGGAGGCGAATTCTAATTCATTACAAACAAAAGTTAACTAGATTTAACCGTTATTGTTTTGCCACATATTTTAGTATTTCATACATAATCACTTTTATATTCACATTAGATAAATGGAAAAATATTGTAATTCCAGTTGTTTCCCTACTTTCCCTAAAAAAAGGAAAACCATTCAGGTCAGTTCAGTTTTATGTGGTAGACAGTGCACATTAAGTAAAGTTGTCTCCCCAAAATAGAACTGTCATGGGGGATTTCCACTTCAACACAGATTCTAAGAATTCAACTACTCCAGCCTGCAGACCTGAGATATTAGAAAACATGAGTAAAACAGCCCATGTAAAAGATATCAAATGAAAATAAAATTGTGAAAAATTCCTGAGCCTGCACAGGACATAGGATTATATTTTAGGTCCAAAACACTTTAGAAACACATTAAAGTCATTATAGGATTTTTCTCAGATATACAGTGGTGCCAAACCCCAAAAAAGAAATGAGAATTGGGTGTAATAGTGTATCTATTAGCCATATATGTCTCCATAGGCATGTAAAAGCATTTGGGATGTGTATTTCAGCTGTATCTTCCCAAGAACCAATGAAGGTCAGATAATGTATTTTAACAACAGGAAACCCAGTAACCCAATAAGAGTTCAAGCAAAACAGGGCAGACCTGTGACTGTTAAGACTGTCATCTGACCTTGCTGTGCCCAACCTCTGTGCATCCCTTTGGCAAATCCATAAACCTCCCCAGACCTCAGATTTTGTTTGGTGTTTTAATCTACAGAATGGTTTTGAACCAAGGGATCTCTATAGACCCTTTCATATTTAATTTGACATGCTAAATGGAATCAGTTTCAACGAGCAGTATTCATTATTTTTTCTTCACTATTAGAGTATCTGTTAATTTCTCAAAGAACTCATATCTATTCCGAATACTCTATTGTCAGCAGTATGTACTCCCTCCTAGACTCTCTGTTTTTCACTTATTTTTATATTCAAATATGGTTTCATATCATTACATAACTGAATGAGTCATCTTCCCAGAACTCTCACATTCTCATGGATGATAAAGTTGCCAAGTTGTACTTTCACATATAAAAAAGTTCTGAATTTCAGTGACAGGTCCTCTATTCATGAGAACTTCCTCAGTCACACCAAAAGGCCGACTTCTATGTACAATGTACTTATCCTAAAAGGTTTTGTCTGTTCATACAGGTCTTCACACAGAAATAAAATAATTTGAGTATGTTTTTATTTCTTCTCTACTCCTGTTTTTGCACAATCAGAAACTACAAAAAAAAAATCGCTGCATTAAGTTCTTAATTATTTCCATTGCACCTGAAAACAAAACATGCAATTTGCAGAACTGTAAAGGAATAGAAAGATTGCAATTTTTTTTCCTCTATATCAGCACATGCACACAAACCCAGGGACTGCCACCAGGGCATCCCCACTATTATTTTCTCAATGGAGAGAGACAGTGGGTAGTGTGGGCCAGAGTTTGCAAAGCTTCTACCTTTGGAATATTCCAGCTCAGGCCATCCTAGAAGAGCAAACCCCCAACATGTAAGGGCAGCATTACATAACCTTCAGCCGTAAAAAACCAGTGAGCAATTCAGAGACCTATTAACCACCCAGAAGATCCACAAACTCATCCAGTATGAGATTTATGAGGATGTGTTAGGAAGCAACAGCTGGGATGCCCTTTAGATCATGTTCTTTAAAAAAGAGAGGGTGATCAACCATCTTTATTGACTGATACTCAGAGTTCAAGTAAAACAAGGCAGACCTGTGACTGTTAAGAGTCGCATACTATTTGAATAGAGAATGCGGAGAGGGAGCAACCATAGATAACTATGAAACTATACAAATCATCAGAGAAATGGTGCCATAGCTTGAAGGAAATGTATCTGGCATGGTTTTGTTTGGAATAGGAACTATTAGAGCATATTCATATGCTTATTGAAATTCCACTGGAGGAAAAAAACTGATATGAAGATTAGAGAAGAGAGGTATTGCAGACGCAAAGGGACCGGGAGGAAAAGAAGCACAGGAATCAGATCCCCAGGGACAGAGCTGGCCTTGAATACAAACAGGCACTCCTACTAACAGGAAGACCACAGTGGGCATGGGTGACTAAGAAGTGGTTCTGTTGATTAACAGTAGGAAGATGAAGATTTTCCTACCTCATTACTCCGGTTTTCAAATTAAATATGAGAAAAATGATCAGCTGAGAATGAACAGGTTTTAGGAGACTTATCAAGACAAGCAAAAGGGTCAAATGGTCATTTTAGGAAGTGAGAAGATGATTATGCTAGTTAAGTGTAGTAGGATTGCCAAAGTGTTAAATGCCCAAATGAGACCTATTACCACACTTTGCTCTTGTGAAGGGTATGTCCAGGTGCAGGCAGGGAGAAGGCAGAGCCTGCTTCCACCTCCAACAAAGACCTGAGTTAGGCTCCTTGTCCTGCATCCTCTAGTTCTAAAATCGAGCTAGAATGTTTCTCAAAAGACCTACAAATTTATGTCCCTAAATTAAATTAAATATATATATATATATATATATATATATATATATATATGTGTGTGTGTGTGTGTGTGTACTGAAAATAAAACACTAAGAATAAAGAAATATAAGCACAGAAATAATTAAAATGTAATGATTCTGCTTTTTCAGCTTGAAATTTCATTACTGCTCATTTATAGGTCTCTCCTATTTCCTATTTTCCTAAACAAGTAAGTTTGCTACTCCTCACCGTCATTTTATCTGTTCTGAAGCCTCTTGTGCTACACCACTCAATATTCACTCCTCTTTATCTTCAGCCATCTCGAGGAATGCAACTGACATACTCAATGGTAGAAAACAGAAGGTTTTTCTTCTAAGGTCAGGTACAGACAAGATGTCCTTCTCAACACCTCTCTTCAACATAGTGCTAATAGTCCTAGCTACATCTTTAGGCAAGAGAAATAAATAAAACATCCAAACCAGAGAAGAAGACATAAAATTGCCTCTGTTTGCACATGATATGATCTTACATGTAGAAAATACTAATATCTATTTAATAAAAAAAGTCTCTCATAACTAATAAATTGAGCAAAATTGAAAAACAGAAAATCAACATATAAAACTCAATGGTGTTTCTGTAATCTAACAATGAATAATCCAAAAAGAATTGAGAAACAATTCTGTTTAAAATAGCATAAAATTAATAAAATATTTAGGAATAAACTTAACTAGCAAGGCAACATTTTCAACTTCTAACCAGCACAGAGTTAACAGGGAAATGCCCTAACACACTGTCATGAGCATTTGCTGAACAATTAAGAAGTCATAAATAAATAAAAATATATCCCTCATTCATGAGCTGGAAAGATTAATATTGCTCAAATGTCAGTAACTAACAAAGTGATCTACAGATTCAATGTAATCTCAACCAAAATCCCAATGGCATATTTTGAGAAATTGAAAAACCAATTCTAAAATCCACATGAAATCATAAAGCCACCACTAAACAGCCAAATAATCTTGAGAAAAAAAGAATAAAGCTAAGGACTCCTAACTTCAAAACATATTAAAAGCTATGGGAGTCAAAGCAATATGGTACTGGCATAAAATAATGCATATGTGATCTGATGATCTTCAACTAGATGCTAAAACTACATAATAGGAAAGGGATAACAACTTCCGTAAATGATGATGGGAAAATGGATAACCACATCAAAAGTAATGTGATTATTCTTATCTTACAGGACACACAAAAATCAACTCAAAGAGGATTAAAGCCTTCCATGTAGTATCCAAATTCTAAAACTGCTAGGAAAAAAAACTGATAAAAAAAACGCCTTACAACATTGGTTTTGCAAGGATTTCTTAGTATGACATCAAAACCAAAAGCCATGGAAATAAAAATAAAAAAGACAAGTGATACTAGATCAAACAAAAATCTCCTGCACAACGAGGAAAACAATGGAGTGAAGAGGCAACTTATACAGTGGGAGAAAATATTTTCAAACTATACATCTGATAAGGGGTTAATAATCAAAATATGTAAGGACTATCAACAATATACTATCGAAAATATTAAAAATGTCCAAAAAAGATTTGGTTAGAAATTTGTTTAAAGAAGATGTACAATTGACTTACAGGTGTATGAAAAGATGCTCAAAATCACTAACCACTGGGTAAATGTAAATTCAAAGCACAATGAGATGCCACCTTACACTTGTTA